TTCATTAAAACTAATACAATTTAATAATAATTTAAAAAAAAAGCCAAATCTCTTTTTACTTGGCTCTCCCTGGATCCAAGCATGGGGCCTGAGGTGGAGAAGGGGTTTAGTAAATGATGACTAAAACAGGGAATGCTAAATTGTATAACTCGCACAGAAATTGACATGAGTCAGAAATGGACGGTTCCCAGGAGCTTGCCTGTTGAAGTGGCAGCTTGTATTGGCCTTAAAGATGGCAGTGAAAAGACAGGAAGTCAGTCACAGTATGACATTGGTTTTGTGAAAAATGAGGGTGGGAATAGATAAGGAGGGGGCTTTGATTTATGTAGAATAAGCAGCCTTGTGGAAGGATAGGAGAGACTGGGTTGAGAGTATGGCTTGATGGAGGAAAAGTACAGTTAAATCAGTTGCTAGTTAGGAACTTTCAAGAAGTGGCTTTCTGAGTTGGGCCTTCCCTTGGAGACTATGTTGTTGTTGTTAAGTGCCGCTGAATCAACTACAGCTCATAGTGACCTTATGAACAATGGCTCTGAACCTTGCCCTATTCTGAGCCAACTTCACCATCTCTGACATACCTGACCCCACTGCCTGACACAGTCATTGTGTCAATCCATCTCTACCTTTTCAAACATGGATATCCTTCTCCAAGGACTGGTCTCTTTTGGCAACATGCCTAAAACATGTGATCTAGAAAGGCAGGTCCTAGCCTCCAAAGAACAACCTGGTTTCATCCTCTCCAGAACAGATCTGCGTTTTCTTGGCTATCTATGGTATACTCTATACTCTAGTGCCACAACTCAAAGGTATTCATTCTTCTGCTGTCAACCTTAGTCATTGGCCAGCTCTCAAATGCTTAGCAAGCAATTGAGAAGACTATGTGACATCACTGTTCTTTAGCACTCTGCGGAGGTCCCTCACAGTAGATTTTCCCAATCCTGACTGCTAGTGCCAAGAGTGTTGATTGTGGATCCTCGCAAGATGAAATTGTTAACAACCTCAATCTTTTCTCCATTGATTATGATTGCACTGGGTAAATCTGCTGTCAGGGACCTTTCCAGAGGTCTGAGAAGTACTGAGAAGCAATGATGTCAGTCTAGAGACTAAGGTGCACCTGATACAGGCCATGGTTTTCACAATTACTTGCTATGTATCAGAGAGCTGAACAAGGACTAAGGAATATAGAAGAAGAATCAATGCCTTTGAGTTGTGGGGTTGGAAAAGAGTTTGAACATACCATGGACCACCAAGAAAACAGATAGATCTGTCTTGAAGAGGGTAAAACCAAGTTTCTCCTTGGAGGCTAGAATTTTGAAGCTCTGTCTCACATACTTTGGGCATGTGGCCAGGAGGGACTGATCCTTGGAGAAGGACCTCCCACTCAGAAGGGTGGAGGGACAGTGCAGGAGAGGAAGACCCTGATGAGATGGATTGATACAGTAACTAGGGCAATTGGGTTAGGTGTGTCAGAGTCAGTGAGACTGGCTCAGGACAGGGCAGGCTTCAGAGCCATTGTACATAGGGTCTCTATGAGTCATAGGTGACTCAATGGTGCATGACAACAACAATTAATCCAGTGGTAAGGATCTTTGTTTTCTTGCTGTTGAGTTTCACTCCATAAAGAAGGCTGCAGTCCTTGACCTTCTGCAGCAAATGCTTCAAGTCCTCCTCAGTGTTGGTGAGCAAGGATGTGTTAGCTGCATAAGGCAGGTTGTTGATGAGGCTTCCACCAATCCTGATGTCACATTCTTCTTCATAAAGTTCAGCCTCCCAAATATCAGTTCCACATATAGATTGAAAAAGGATAGAGAAAGGATAAATCCCTGATGTACACCTTTCTTGATTTTGAACCATGTAACAACAACAACAACAGTGTTTCGTTCCTCTGTTGGGATACCAGTTTCCTGGTCTATGTATAAATTTTGCATAAGCACAGTCAGGTGTTATGGAATTTCCATTGTTCTTAATGTTAGCCACAGTTTGTTGTGGTTGACACAGTCAAATGCCTTTACATAGTCAATGAAACACAAATAGACATCCTTCTGGTCCTCTCTGCTTTCAACCAAGATTCATCTGACATTGCAATGATATCTCTAGTGCTTCAGCCTCTTCTAAACCCAGATTGTGTATCTGGCAGTTCTCTGTCAATGTACTGTTCCAGTTTTTGGATAATCTTCAGTAAGATTTTGCTTGCCTGTGATACTAGTGATATTATTTGATAATTTCCATATTCTGTTGGATCACCTTTTTTTTTAAAAAAAAAAGGCAATAAATCTGGATTTCTTTCAGACAGTTGGACAGGTAGCTATCCTTTAGATTTCTTGCTGTACCAAGAAATGTGCTGGTGAGCACATTACAACAAAATGTACAAAGATCTGGAGTCTGAAAATCTGAGCAAATATCTTATAATTCTTTAAATTCAGCAAATACTGAGCACTAACTACTTTCTAGGCACCAGCGGCTTACAAAATAAGGTGAATGGCTTCTATGTCATGAGTTTACATTAGCAACTCGACAAGAAATACTGTAATGGTCAAAGGATGATTATCTCACAAATGGAAAGGTCATCATAGGAGCTTTAGCAAAGTACAGAAGAAACAAATTTTTAGGGGATGAATAGGAATTTTTCAGGAAAGCAAGATGAGGGAGATATCTCAGGCAGAGGAGCCAGATTGTGCAAAGCTGTGCTGTTGTTAGATGTTGTCATAGCAGCCCCAGGAACAACAGATCAATACCCTGTTCACTGTTTGTAGTCACTGTGTCAATCCATTTCCTCGAGAGTCTTCCTCTTTTTGCTGACTGTCTACTTTTCCAAGTATGATGTCTTTTTCCTAAGACAGGCCCCTTTTGACAACATGTCCTAAGTGTGCGAAGTGAAGTTCCATCACCCTTGACACCAAGAAGCACTCTGATTCTACTTCCTCTGGGACAGATTTGTGTGTGCTCTTGGCAGTCCATGGTATAGTCAATCCTTTTAGTCAATGTGACTATTTAAAAGCATCTATTTTTTAGTCTTTTGTACTCATTGTTCAACTTTCACATGCATATGAAGCAACTGAAAACAGCATATGACTTATGTCAGACACACCTTTAAACTGATGTCCTTACTCTTTCATAGTCAATAATGAAGTCCTTAAGAGCCTTTTTCCCCAGTGCAACACATCCTTTGATTTCCTGACTACTGCCACTAAGGGTGTTGATTGTGGATTCAAGTAGAGTGAAATCCTTGACAAATTCAACCTTTTCTCCATCTATCATGATGTTACCTAGCGATAGGTCCAGTGGTGAAGACTTTTGTTTTCTTGATGTTGAAATGTAACCCATCCTGAAGGCTGCTAATTTTTTTTATACTTCTGCAGTAAGTTCTTTAGACATTTACTTTCTGCAAACAGTATTGTGTCATCTATATAATGTAGGTTGTTAAGTCTTCCTCCAATTCTTATGCCACATTTTCTATTAGAGTCCAGCTTCTTGAATTATTGTCCAACGTACAGATTCACTACATATGGAGAAAGGATGCAACTTTGATGCACACCTTTCCTCATTTTAAACCATGCAGCATTTCCTAGCTCTGTTTGAACAGTTGCTTCTTGAACTATGTACAGATCTTGAAGGAGTATATTAAGTGTTCTGGCATTCCCATCCTTCTCACTGGTGTCCATAATTTATTATGATCCACACAGTTGAATGCTTTTTACATAGTCAATACAACACAAGTAAACATCTTCCTGGTATTCTCTGCTTTCAACCAAGATCCATTTGATACCAGCAATGATATCACTTGTTTCACAGCCTCTTCTGAATCTAGCTTGAATTTCTGTTTCAGCCTTTTTTGAGTAGTCTTCAGCAAGATTTTACTTCCACATGATCCACAGTCAACACTCTGAGCACCAGTAGCCAGGAAATGAAAAGATGTATTGCAATGGGAAAGTCTGCTGTTAGGGACCTTTCCAAAGTTCTGAAGAGCAATGGTGTCTCTCTGGAGACTAAGGTGCGTCTGATACAGGCCATGGTCTTTGCAATCACTTGTTATGCATCAGAGAGTTGGACAATGGGAGTTGGACTCGGGAGTATAGAAGGAGAACTGATGCCTTTGAGCTGTGGTGGTGGAGAAGAGTATTGAGGATACCATGGACTGCTAGGAAAACAAACAGATTCATCCTGGAGAGGGTTAAACTGGGCTAAGAAAACAAACAGATTCATCCTGGAGAGGGTTAAACCGGGCGGCTCCTTGGAGGCAAGAATTCTGAGGCTCCGTCTAACATACTTTGGACATGTTGTAAGGAGAGACAGGTCCTTGGAGAGGGACATCCTGCTTGGTAGGGTGGAGGGACAGTGCAGGAGAGGAAGGCCCTCTATGAGGTGGATTGATTCAGTAGCTGGGGTAATTGGGATGGGTGTATCGGAGACAGTGCGATTGGCACAGGACAGAGACAGAGCAGAATTTAGGGCTGTTGTACATAGAGTTGCAAGCGACTCGATGGCACATAACAACAACAATTATCATGTGAATTGGCAGGCCTAGGGGTTTGGTGGCTGGTTCGGAAGAGTAGCAGGGATGAAGTGTAGTGGAGAGTTAGTGGGAGGCCCTGCCTATTCTTAAGGGACTAAACATTAACAACGGAGTCTTAATGGTGACATGAACTTGATGTAGGAGAGCCTGCCAACCTCTCACATGTCCAGATCTATGCTTTAGGGTCTATGTGAAGCCTTGACTGGAATTGGAGTGACTGAAGCAGGGTGCCCAATGAAGAGAGTGCCTCTCTAGCCTGGTATGGGAGGTGATCATAATTAATGTCTTCCACAATCATTTATTGAGGATTTACTAGCCAGGTACTGTTCCAGGCACCTGGAGTGCATTAGGGAATAAAAACAACTGAAATCCTCATTCCAATGGTCAGTGCCGAACTCCCTTCTCTTAGATCCAGTGCAGGGATTAGGGGAGAAGGGCATCAAGTCCTGTCTGGCAGCTGCTTTACTCTACTGACTACCTGCCTTCTCTCCCCAGCTCCCTTCCCAGGCCCACAGCAATGGCCACAGCGATGGCTCAGAAGTTGAGCCACTTTCTGCCTGGCTTGCGGCAGGTTGGCCCCGAGTCTCGGCCATCCATGCAGCCAGAGCCTGTCTTCACCGTGGACCGAGCTGAGGTGCCGCCCCTCTTCTGGAAGCCATACATCTACGTGGGCTACCGGCCGCTGCACCAGACTTGGCGCTTCTACTTTCGTACGTTGTTCCAGCAGCACAATGAGGCAGTGAATGTGTGGACTCACCTCCTGGCGGCCCTGGTGCTACTGCTGCGCCTGGCCATCTTTGTGGCCACTGTGGACTTCTGGGGAGACCCGCACGCCCTGCCTCTCTTCATCATCGTCTTTGCATCCTTCACCTACCTCTCCTTCAGTGCCTTGGCTCACCTTCTGCAGGCGAAGTCCGAGTTCTGGCATTACAGCTTCTTCTTCCTGGACTACGTAGGTGTGGCCGTGTACCAGTTTGGCAGTGCCTTGGCTCACTTCTACTATGCCATTGAGCCTGCCTGGCATGCCCAGGTGCAGGCTGTTTTCTTGCCCCTGGCTGCCTTTCTTGCCTGGCTTTCCTGCATCGGTTCCTGCTACAGCAAATACAGCCAGAAGCCAGGTCTGCTGGGCCGCACTTGCCAGGAGATGCCCTCTGCACTGGCCTATGCCCTGGACATCAGTCCTGTGGCACACCGTATCTTGATGTCGCCCAATCTTGCCTCAGATGACCCTGCTCTTCTCTACCACAAGTGCCAGGTGATCTTCTTCCTGTTGGCCGCTGCTTTCTTCTCAGCCTGCATGCCCGAGCGTTGGTTCCCCGGTAGCTGCCACATCTTTGGACAGGGCCACCAGATCTTCCACGTCTTCTTGGTGCTGTGCACAATGGCTCAGCTGGAGGCTGTGGGTCTGGACTATGAGGCTCGGCGACCCATCTATGAGCCTCTGCACACTCGCTGGCCCCACAACTTCTGTGGCCTCTTCCTGCTCACTGTGGGCAGCAGTGTCCTCACTGCGTTCCTCCTGAGTCAGCTGGTGCGGTGCAAACTCAAGCAGAAGGCCAAGTAAGGGTGGTGGGAGCTGCCAGGGAGGGAGGTGCAAGGGTGCAGGGGCCCGGACTTGGCTCCAGATGTGAACAAGTCCTGGTAAAGTTGTGTTTGGCTCATGGAGACTCTGTGCACCTCTCAGCAACCAAGAGCAGTACTGGCCAATCCTTGGGTTTGGGGATCAGCTGGGAGCTACCCCTACCCCAGCTCCCTGCCCTGGAAAAGAGAAAGACATAAAAGGTGTGGACTACTTTGGCTATTTCTTCTATTACTTCTCATTAGGGGTAAGGCTGGGGGCTCACTTGGACCCAGGACCCAAATTTGGACTCCTTTTACATTATCTGGGAGGAGAGAAAGTGAAATTTAGGTGCAAACAAGTTTGATATGAGAGGTAGGGGAGGCCTCATTAGCCCCTTGACACAGATTTCATTGGTCTCTGGGGACAGGATGAATACAGGATCAAATTATCTGTTCCTGGAACCTGATCTGGGGTGTTGGAGCTACACAGAAGAGTGTGCCGGACCTAAATGGAGTCTTCGTCACCCTCCTTGATGTTAAGTCCCAACTGTTAACTCTGGCCCACTTTGTCCCACACATCTGATGCTCCCAGCTTCTCTCCTCATTCCTTTTGTCACAATTCAGTGATTTATTTAGTGGCCACAGGTGGGAGCCCTAGGAATCAATGCGAGAAGACCAAGGCCTTAATAAATTGTAATTACCTTGGACCCCTAGGGCCCTTGAGCTGGGAAGGAGGAGTAGGAGTTGCAGTTAGACTAAAGGAAGGACGTTCCAGGCAGGAGGAAAAAGTCTTTGTAAAGGCCCACAAGTGGAAAAGGAGTTCGGTACACAGAGGCTACGGGTGGCCTGGAATTTTAATATGTCTTGGATGGAATAAAGTGACTGTGATAGCAACTGCCTCTGTTTTGTTTGATTTTTATTTTTCCCTCAAATATACTTTATTTTAAATGTGCACTTTGGTGAAAGCAGGATGAAGGCTAAATTGGCCTCAGCTGCTTCTGGGTGTGTTTCTCTCCCTCTCTCCCCTCCTTCCTCTATCTCCCTCTCCTTTTCCTTCTTTCCTTCCGCCCTCCCTCTGTCCCTCTCTCTCTGTCTAGCTCTCTCTTTGGAGATGGTTCTCTTTGAGCCCTGGTCAATGTGGGAGGAGGTTTCCCTGGAGGAAGTTGGGACCTCTTGGGTGTGGGTGGAGTGTGTGATAGTTCCTGTTTTATCCTTGCTTAGGGGTGGAATCAGAGCCTTGCATACTTTTACTGGGGACAGGGTAGGGAGATAGTTTTACTCAGTAAGATTTGTAACAGCCTAAAAGGAATAGCCATAATGCTTCTTGGAGGTGGGGGTAGCAAAACTTTATTTCTCATACTTTTTGAGTATGTTGTTATGAGAGGCCAGTCCTTGGAAAAAGAACATCATGCTTGGAAAGTTGGATTGACACAGGGACTGAATGGTGGGCTCTAGTGTATCCGAGATAGTGAGAATGGCACAGGATAGGGCTGGGTTCAAATCCACTGTTCCCAGGGTCACTGTGAGTTGTGCTTCACTCCACAGCACCTATACCATCAAGCTGACTCAGACTCAGCACTGAGGTTGTAAATGTTTCAGGGAGAGACTGCCCTCTGAAGGGCAGCTTGTGGATTCCAACCACTGACCTTTATGTTAGAATCACAACACAGTAGCCAGCTGCTCCACTAGGACATCTTAAAAAATGTACAATGAAGGAAATTAAATGTCATTTTTAAAAAGGAGCTCTTGTGGCACAGTCCCTAGCAAATAGCACTGCTGACCCAAAGGCTAAGCATCTCTAATGTTTAGAACTGAGTTCTAATCCACCAGGTTCTACCTGGCTTTGCAGGAGAAAGAGAAGTAGTCTCCTCCCAGTATGATTTTACAGCCTTGAAAAGCTAATGTAGGGTCGCTAGGAGTCGGAACCAGCTAGAAAGCAGTGGGGGAATACAAGGAAAAAACCTAAAGAATTACCTACTCTACTGCTAAATGTCTGGGAACCTTATGCTTGCCTTAGAATATATCCATTTAGGGTAGTATTCAAGACTTCGGTTTTAGAGTTAGCAGACTTGAGCTTCAACTCTGCCTTTTCCTTTTTGGGATGAAGGTTCTATGCTCAGAAAAGATCTGATCTTCTGCGTATTTATTAAATTTACAGTAAGAAACGGCAACTCAATAAAAATAAGAAAATATAAATTATTTGCACAATCTCAGAAACTTCCACATAGCATAGTTTCTGGACTATGATCTACAATTGAAAAGATGAAAAATAACCGCGACATCTTACTAAAATGGAAATATGCTCCCTAAGCTTTACAAAGCGCAGGCAGTCAGTGGGCACGGTTGTTTGGCCGGAGTTGGGGGGCGGGGCTCGCTGCCGGGGCGGGACAAGGGGCGGGGCGGACGGCAGGGCGGGGCCTGCGCTTGGACGCCGCGACGTCGCTCCGCCCCAAGCGTTGGCGCGGGATCCGAAAGCGGGCGTGTGTTCTGCTATGATCCTTCCCTGAGGTGTCTGCATTTGGAGCTTGGTTCCTAGTTGACTTAGTCTCCGCGGCCATGAGGCGGAGAGGACCCAAGGAGGAGACCTGCGGCGTCTGGCTGGACGCAGCGGAGCCGAAGAAGCGGAAAATACAAGTAGGAGGTGGCACACTGAGGAAGGACGTTTGGGGCCTGGAGTGGTGGAGGGAATTATGGGGGAACAGGGGAAATAGAAGGATCCCTGATGGCGCAGTGACTAAGTGCTAGAATGCTAACCTAAAGGTCAAGAGTTCGAATCTATCACTCTGATGGAAAGCTGTGGCGGCAGGCTGTTTCGGTAAAGATGGGCAGCCTTGGGAACCTTATGAAACAGTTCTGCTCAGTCCTGAGTCAGAATTCCACGGCAGTGACTTTGACTTTTTTTTTTAAGATTTATTTTATTTTATTATTTTTTATGTGTGTACAGTCAAATTGTATCTGACTAGTACAGGAGGAGTTTGCCCCTCCTTCTCCAACAGAGCATTTGGTGGATTTGTACCGTGTGCCTTCGGTATTGCAGTGCAGCTTCCTGCCACTGGGCCACGAGAGCTCCCTACTTCGACTTTTGACTTGCAGGTGATGGATTTAAAGTAGGGGATAGAAAAAGGAACAGGTTTGGGAACTCAGAGACGAGAGAGATTGGGGTTTAAAGAAGATGGAAAACAAGATCTGGGGAGGCTGGGAAGAAAATTGGGCAGGGAAAGAGGGAGCGAGCTGTGGAGGGCTGGATGGAGCAGGCTGTCAGGTTCTGGGAAGAAGGTGGGACGTTTGTCCTGAGGAATTTAATTGAGTGGACTCTTCTGGAGGTCACAGCAAGTGGAAGTGGTAAGTGTGAAGAGGCAGAAGTAGTGGGCGGTGGTGCATAATCACATTTGGGGGATGCCAACCCCAGGGTTTGCTTCTACCATGCTTGCCAAGTTGTTAGGCCACTCATCTGCCTAGAACCAGTGACTGGGGATAGGGGAATAAGAGAAGGAGTGGATACAAGATAGTGTAAGAATTACTTCATATTCATTATTCAACTTTATAGGGCAGAATGGAACTTCCCCGTAGGGTTTCCACAGCTGTAAAACTTTACAGAAGCCTACTGGCAGCCACATCTTTCTTCCTAATGGCTGGTTCAAACTACGGACCTTATGGTTAGAAGTGGAATGCCTTCACCACAGTGCCAACAGCTCCTAGGGTTGCTGTGAGTTGTAATCAAATCAGTGGCAGTGGGATTTATTTATTATATGTTTTATTGCCCTTCCTGGAGATGAGGAAACATGTTTAGTTACTAACACAAATTTGTCCAAGTAGAAGGGGTTGTTGGATGCTTTTGAGTTGACTGCTACTTATAGCAACCTTAGGAACAAGTTAAAAGTGGTGGTGTGCTGGAAATCCAAATCAGAACTATTATCTGTGCTTGTTATTAAAGGAAACAAAAGTTTAAAAAAATACCATTGTTTACATATTTATACAGAGCACTGTGCCAAGTATTTTGTCTTGTTTTTATGTGCAAAGTAATTTAGATATGTTGTCTTGTTTGGGTACAACTCTGCTGACATACTTGAGCCATTGCTGCAGTCACTGTGTCCATCTGGTTGAGGGTCTTCCTCTCTTTTGCTGTCCTTCCACCTGTCCAAGCATGATGTCCCTCTCCAAGGTATATCCTCTCCTAACCACATGCTTGAAGTATGTGAGATGAAGCTTTGTCATCTTTGCCTCCAAGGAGCACTCTGGCTATACTTTATCCAAGACATACCTGTTTATTCTTTTGGCAGTCCATGGGCTATTCAGAACTCTTCTCCAACACCACACCTCAAAGTATCAATTCTTCTGTCATCTTTATTCATTATCCAGCTCTCAGAGGCATAGCAAGTGATTGAAAAGACCATGGCCTGAATTAAGCGCACTTTAGTCTTCAAACTGTTAATCATTGCTCCTCAAAAACTTGGAGAAATATCTGACTACAAACTTTCCCAGTGAAATACATCTTCTGATCTCCTGACCACTAGTACCAAGGGTGTTGATTTTGGATCCAAGTAAGATGAAATTGTTGAAAATTTTAGTCTCTTCTCCATCTATCCTGATGTGTGTTAATTCAGTGGTGAGGATTTTATTTTCTTGATGTTAAGATGTGATCTGTACCAAATGCTGTATTCTTTACAGCAAGTGCTTCAGGTCTTCCTCACTTTGAGCAAGCAAGGTTGTGTCATCTGCATAATGCAGGCTGTTGATGAATCTTCCTCCAATTTTGATGCTACCTACATTCTTCTTTATAGAGTTTACTTCTCGAATAATTTGCTCAGCATACAGATCAAATTGGAAGGGAACAAGGATATAGCCCTGACACACCCCTTCCTTAATTTTAAACCATGCAGTGTTTCCTTGCTCTGTTTGCACAATAGCCTCTTGGTCCAGGTATAGATTTTGCTTGAACACAATTAAGTGGTCTGGGACTCTTATTCTTTTCAATGTTAGTCATAATTTGTAATATGATAAATAGCATATCCATTTTACATGAAAAATTGAGACTCAAAAGATTAAGTGACACAGATATTAAGGGCAGAATTCTTGTTCACAAGGACTTTACAGTCTTATGGGGAAGAAAGATATACAGAGAATAATAATAATGTTTAGCATTAACAAGTACTTACTACTTTGGTAAAAAGAAATTGTTAGGAATTCAGAGAACACTAGTTGAGGTGGTTCAACAAACATGCAGGCCTGGATGTGCTCACTCATTTATATCAAGAAATTTAAAAAACCACTTCCTGGCCAACCAACTGCAAAAGATCTATATTTTTTTTGTTCCAAAGTAAGATATTTAGCAAGAGTTCAGAAATTATTAAACAATGTCATTAATAACATATGCAAGTACAGCTAGACCAGTACATTGACAGAGTAATTCTAGAAATTCAAGCTGGATTTAGATGAGACTATGAAACAGGGGAATATAATTGTTAATGTCAGATAGATCTTGACTAAAAACAGAGAATACCAGGAAGATATTTTACTTGTATTTTGTTGACTAGACAAGGACATTTGACTGTGTGGATCATAATATAAATTATGGATAATATTGAGAAGAATCTTGACATTGAGCCTCAATCCATATTGTAGGCTGCAGTCCTTGACATTCTGCAGCAGGCGCTTCAGGTCCTCCTCAGTTTCAGCAAGCAGGGTTGTGTCATCTGCATAACGCAGATTGTTGATAAATCGTCCACCAATCCTGAC